CCTCCATCAGTATCATTCATTTTATTTGCACACTTCCAGAGTCCAATCATTGATTCGCCCCCTCATCTTAACAGATCCCTGATCTGTATTTTCAATATTGAATTTCTTGAGGGGAGTTCATATAGTCTCTGTTTCGTTCTCGATTTCAATATATAATAGGATAACTTTTGAGCTCATATCACTTGTAATCTACACATTTTTCTTTCAAGAGTTCATCATACCAGTTGGGTATATTACCAGCTTTATTACATTCATATGACACTTATTTTCATTATTTCATAACCATCAGGTTACGTGTCATATACCCATTATGTGATCAAACCATTTCGTAACTTCAGGTTACGAATCATATAATTATGTGGTTATCTAGTGGATCCATAATATCTAGTAGCACACATGGAGGAGTAGTGGGCTCATATATATCATACCCCTTTATACTCAGATTGATCAGATATCGATTCAGAATTGTTTTAGCTAGTAATAATTTTTCACCAGTCGAGAACAAAACATCTCATATCACAAAGAATAAGGTAATCATGAAAACCATCATCATTGATATAAGTAAACATTACAATAATTCATTGTGACACATTTATCACATCATCTTTCTGCAGCAATAAAAGCATTTTAAGTGTATATTCTGACACACAATATTTTATTCAATATTTAAATCAAGAATTGTACCACATGCATATCATACCTTCAGGGTATATAACCAATCGATGACCCAATACTTCGGGGATCAATTATACAGTTGATGTACTTATCCACCAATATATCAAGTCCAAAGATAACCCAACATACATGAAAACATAGATATTTTCAACGTTTATCATGATATCTCTTTAAGAAGATAAATAATAAATCTTGCTAGCAAATTCATCGCAAATGTAGTATTAGGCCTGATGCAGTTTGCGAGATAAAATTTTATAACAATTGTGCTTAGTAAATAAACCTCAGGTCGTTCGTGGATTTCAAGTCCATTGGAACTTCAGGTCCTATAATATCCTCATTAGTTTCTTTGGAATTTTGTAAATCTTTGTTAAAATTTAAATATTTGATACTCATTGGTGTTATGATTTTACATCTCTAAAAAGAGATTCAAGTAGATTGGTCAAATATACTACTTCTAGGAGATGCTCGATCTACAAGTCGAGATAATTCTCTTTGGTATTTAACCAAGAGTTTAATTCTAACTCCGTCTATATATAAGCATGAGCTAATCTTATATATAGTGTTCACCACATAATCTATTTGACTGAGATGATCATTTTGTATATTATCATTATACACCAGATTCTACCTTGAATTTCATACTTTACTTCTTCAGGAAGAAATTTGTTGGTTGTACCACATCTTACCAACAACTTTATATAATTTAATGATTTATTATTTAATTATCATTCATCTCAGGTACTCTAGTCCATCCAGGACTTTCACATATGACTCAATAGTCATGGTAATGTTGCTGTCATAAATATTAACTTGCGGAATAATAAATAATGAGAGAAATTTTATCAAATTTTGGGTCTTTGAGTAAACCCTAAGCATAATCTCGCTATATTTACATCACACCACCATATCACATGTTTCATATAAATATGCATTGTCCTTCTGGGATATGCTATCCTTTTGGGATATATCGTGTAGCGAGTGGAAGCTTTTCCTTTCTATCTCAATCAACCTAAGAGCTTCTAGCACTTTCATTATTTTGATCCAGATCATTATTTGAGATAGTAAAGAAATCATATAGGTAATTATGTTGTCGACTACTATGATATTCAATTTTTATTCTCTCAACCATATGTGCAACTTCATATTTCCTAGCCATATTTATAATCATTTCCCTTAACATTTAATTTTGGCTGTTCCGCATTTCCAGTACTATAATGGTTTGATGCACGTGCAAGATGTACTTGATTAACTCTTTAGGAGTTTCTTACAAAGGAATGTTAATTTTTGAATATAAATTTTCCGCGGACTTTCATACATCATATTATATCACCTTATGCTTCTAGCATTAAGGAGTCAATCATTCTCTAGAGAATTTGCTTACTTTGTGGTACATTTATATATATACAAATTTCTTACTCTATTATTACTATAAATTTCGTTTGGCAGAAATATAATATGAACTTCAAATTCAATTTTTATTGTATGGTTCCAAATAATGAAAACATTAATATTTCACATATTTCACGGCATTAATAACCTTATGCTCATTTCTCCCCCTAATGCCGTGAAATCATATTTATACATTATGCAAAACACGTACCAAATAATAAATTGATCCCCTATAAAGGCCTCTAGGTATTAAAAAATCGACGGACTATAAAAATCATAGCATACCTAGTTTGTAATATAGGCCTATAAAGGTACGAATTGGTGGTGATATAAGATTGTGCATAATAAAATAATAAATCGCAGATGAAAAATGTTCTATTTTCCACGTTCTAGGGAAAAATTATGAAAATAATTGCGCAATATGATCCAACTGCTCATGTTAATTATCAAATATATAAGTTAATTGGGCATCGATTTATAATAATTCATTTCTAAGTGAACACCATATGCTTCAGGCACTATATTTGAACTTTGGTTGTGAGCCTTTTATTATATAGAAAAATATGTGCTTCGGGCACCACACATAAATTTATTATTGCAGCTACGAACAATATAAATCAATGATATGCATCTTATTAAATAGACAAGCAAATATAAATAATTTGAGAAAACTTATATATTGATTAAATCTTTGTAACATTCTGGTTACATGTGTTCATTAAGAGTACATTGAATATGCAGAGCTGATCCAAAATCAAAAGATCGTCAATTAATCTAAAAATCAACGAGATTATTGTTATTTCAAAGATACTTGCTATATAGTTCTTATGCAAGTATGATACTAGTCAACAGGACCAATCCTTCAGGGATAACCAAATCTAGATCTGTATTCATATTTACAGTGATACTTTTAATTATATAATTCTTCAGGGAAACTCAAATTTATAGGCATAATATTCAACAAGATATTTGCTCTGCAATTCATAATAGAGAATAATTATACAAGTTGCATACCATTCATTTGGTTCATTAATCAATAAGACTAAAGTTCAAGATATTCAAATTGATTTAGGCTCAATAAATTTGGATCAAGTCCATACTGAATGCATAAAACAACGAAACAAAATATGCAATTACAATTTCCAAACTAAATTCATTTCGTAATTCCACATTTTGATATCTTCACCATATATATTCCAAACAACATATACAAGTCACATTTTAATATCAATCCATATACGCTTCATTCGTTTTCAAATGCGTGGACAAAATATTAATATATGTGGACAATTTTATTTATAACTCTTCAGGAGTATAACAATTGAAGTATGAGAGATTTCATAAATTATATAATATTTTTCCTTTATCATTGAAAATAATCTTTATATAGAAGATATAATGTCTACTGGACATATCATACATGTTACCACATTCAAAATTTAACAATTAATGTTAAGAAAAATAGGATACATATCAAACAAGATATGCTCATAAATAAGGACAATTAAATCAAGTAAATATATAGTCTTATATAAGAGAGATAATATATTCTTTTTCATAAATCTCATGTGATAAATTGTACTTTTGTACATGCTTCTGGCACTACATATTTCTTTTCATATCACATGGGTCAATCTATAAATATCCATGTGTCCATGTACCAAATAATTTTCTCAAAATTCAAAAATTTCATAATAACAATATATATAGGTTAATAAACTATATCAATATTGGTCTTAAAATGAAGTTATCATTAAATTGAGTAGTATGAAAGTGAAATAAGTTTATTTCGAAAAGCACAACTTTATTTATTTGGCAAAACCTAGTTTTAAATGATAAAGTAAATTTAATGAATTTTAATGATAAAATAAATTCTCAATTGCTATTCACCGCCCCCCTATTACTGCTTACCGCCCCCCTGGACAATTTTGCCCCTGGCATTTTTTTTCAAAAAGTAAAAAAAAAAAAAAAAAACCGTCCGGCCGGCCGGTTCGGACGGCATAAAAGCCGTCCG